GTTGGCCAGATGTAGTGAGGGTTTTAAAAGAAATTTTAGAGGAAGGAACAGTGGGAAGAGAGTTTATAAAAGGAATAGTGGTCTGAAGGTTTAAGAAAGGTGAGAAGGAACTATTGAAAACCTGTAGACTGATTATACTGTTAACCACAGATTACAAAATGTTGGCAAAGATGTTGGCACAGATAATATGGAACTCCCTGCGAAAGATAAAAAATGAAGACTAAACATGTGCAGTGCTGAAGAGAAGAACTGTAGAAATTGAGGCTGATCAGGACACATTAATATACTGCAATGACAGGAAACTAGCAGTGGCAATAACAGACCTCGATTTGGAAAAAGCATATGACAAAGTAGCATACGAGTTTTTATTTGGAGTTTTAAGTACAATGGGGATGCTAGAGGCTTTTATAGGGTAGGTAAAGCTTTTATATAATAACACAGCATGTCAGCTCTTAATTCATAGACATCTGAGTATAGCTTTTAGGTTCTCAGCAGGAATGACACTGGGATTTCCACTGTCACCAGCACCGTTCATTTGTGCCATGGAGTCACTAGCACAAAAAATAAGGTGGGACAGAGGGATAAGTGGAATACAGATACTTGGAGGAGATAGAAAAGAAGTGAAGTGTACCTTGTACAGGGATGACATAAATGTAACAATGAGAGAGACACTATCAATAGAAAGGGTGGTGAAACACAGAGCAGAATATGGGGAAGCAACAGGGGCCAAGCTAAATAGAGCAAAAAGTATGGTAATGGTAGTGGGAAATTGGGGGACATGAGTTAGCTCAGTACAAATAACAGAAACAGAAATTAAGGTGTTGGGGATCCCAATGGATGTGGCAACAAAAGGGGCCAGGGCATGGGAAAAGGTGACAGCTCAGGTGAGACAGATGCTAGGGTTGTGGGCTGGAAGAATGCTGTCCTGTGCAGGTCAAGTCAAGGCAGTCAGTGTAGTGCTGCTGCCAGTCATTTGATACATGGAGATAGTGTTTCCCTTGTCATGGAGACAGGTAGTGAAAATCCTGAGAGACATTTGTGTATTTTCTTGGAGGTCAAAAAGTGGAAGACTGGCACAGATGGAACTGTTTACAAAGATGGAGGCAGGAAGATGGGGCATGCCAGATGTATGCCAACTATGTGAGTACCATGTGCAGGGGTTATGAGAAGGGGAAGGAAAAGCAGGGTGCTTTAGTCAGTTCCTAGCGGGTGCAATCTTAAGGAGGTGGGGATTGTATAGAGGTATTCTTCTGAAGCCAGAGTCATGGCAACCATCAGTCCACTAGGCAGGAATGGAGGGCTTTTCAAAGTTTTACAAGGTGGGGGAGGTGGGACCAGAGGTGCTGAAAGACCATAAAAGCTCATAAAGATAATACGGAATTTAAGACGTGATACTACCGGTATGAAATTTCACAGAAACACAAATGTGGGAGGGGTAGAAGAGGGTGCTAGATAAGCACCTGAAAGGAGAACATGCAGACCTGGCCAGGTTGGCAAACAAGGGGTATCCTGCCAGTAAGGGATGCACAACAGAGATGGCAACTGGCAAGAACACCACGGTGTCTAAGGGTGCGGTGTGGGGAGGAGGAGGCAGTTGGACACCTGTTTTGGGACCTCAGTTTTTTATGGGTTACAAATACCACCCAAAAAACTGATGTGGAAGATGGTGCTATACAGGCTTGCCCCCAAGGGACTGGAGGAAGCAGTGCAAAGCAAATTGTAGTGAGTTTCAAATGGAGTATTTTGAAAGTGAAGAATTTACAGCTGTTTAAAGGGTTAGCTTGCACAGTAAGAGACTGCCTGAAATTGGGACTGTATGAACTGAGATTTTATACCCACTGGCCATGTCTACATGTGCATTTAGGTGTGCCTAATTTTAATGCGTATTAGCTTAATGTGCATTACGGTGGTTTAGGCTCACATCTATATCTGCACATGTTAAAGTATATTAATGCCATGTGTGTGGACTGGTGTGGGACTAAAGTTAGTCCCAAGTCAGTCCATACACCGCACTAATGTGCCTTAATGTATCTCAACATGCATTGATGTGCTTTAGCTATTTGAGCTAAATTTGATACCTGTTTTTGCCTAAGACTGGACAACAGGGAAGAAAGAAGACACACAGAAGTGTAGGAAGGAGGAATGGAGTCATATATTTGTAACCAAGGCTGGAGACTGAGTTGTTTTAACTCTTTTAAAACCACTGCAATATGGGGATGTACAAATGATTTCTAAAACATTTAAAGGCAGGATAAAACTGTTTTTTGCATTTAAGATGTTTTAGCCAAAGTTTTAAGATGCAAGTGATGGAAATGAGGGTTTAACACATGAAGGTTTCAGGTAGGAATTATGTACAGGTAGTAAGTGTTAAACATGAAGAAAAGAAAATTGGTAATGAAAAGAGTGGCTTACTCGGGAGTAGAAACAGTGTTAAAAGGGGTAAACTGGGAATTCAGATAGAAAGAAAAGAGGTTGAATAGGGGAAAGAAGTATAATTGCTATACATAATTTAATAAAAATATTTCCATTAATATGTTTGGCCAATATGAGCCATGAGTTTTACAGGCATGCTTAGTGTTGGCTGCATTCAATCCACTTCATAACTGGTTTCCATTACTGAGCACACGTGCCATTTTTGGCAGCTGTTTAATGATAGACAATGTATTGAGTGACGTTTTATTGTATGCAAATATAAGGGGAAGAGCTTTATCCCCCATGCTGATTGGAGGAAACACCTGGTTTTACATTAGAGTAAATACAGAACTACTAGTACTGTATTTACTCGCCTTCTATAGTACCGCTTTATTGGACGTTACCCAAATAAGTCACATCCTCTTTCTACATACACGTCTCCCTCCATGAAACAAGAAAAAATACCATCTCTCCTGTTTCTTTGAAAAAGTCAGGACAAGAGCAAGAAGAATGTTGCTGCTCAAAGCTTTTACTTTGGCTATGGTGTGTTCATGTGAGTATATTGCTCATCTTGCTATGCACAAGGATATGTGGATTACTTAAAGGAAGAACGTCTGCCTTAGTTCTGTTTCACCTTTCTATTTTTCTGTTCTTCTTTCTCTACAGATGGCTCTGGTCAAGTCCTAAAACAAACTGAACCATCCATCACCAAGGCAGAAAGTAGAACCATACGAATTAATTGCTATGTGGATTCATCAGTCTTTGGCAGAGCTTTTATACACTGGTATCGACAGAGGCCTGGTGCAGCTCCAGAACGGATACTGTACTTCTCATCAGACCTCTACCTTGACCAGGACTCTGATAAGAGAAAGATCAGTGCAGAAAAGGACTTTGATCTGTACCGCTGTGTCTTGACAATAAACAGCTTAACCTCCAGTGACACCGCTACCTATTACTGTGCCACTTGGACAGGCACAGTCTAAGAAAACCATTGACAACATCTACAATAAATCCTCTCTACTTTCTGAGATACCACAGTCTTCCAAATGTGTGAGAGAGACCTGCCCAAGTTCTGCCACTCAGCCTGGAACTAGCTGCAGAAACTGCTGGCTTCTGGAGTAGATAACAAAAGACAACTGCTAATGAAATATGTATTTTTCAGAAAATTCCTAAAACTACCTTAAGAGGTGACCACCCCGGAAGCAAGTTCAGTGGTCTTATTATTATTCACCTAACTTCCCCCTCTGCCTTTGAAAATCTCACATCCACCACTCTAAAACTTAAGTGAAGTAAAACGTCAGCAGTTGTCCAAAGAGGCTGCCATGGGCTGCTGTAGTATATAGGTAAGATATAAATATCTGCTACTATCGGGTGAAAATTAGTCATTGTATTAGGCCCCCATTAGAAACACAGAGGCCTCTTTCTCTAGCTCCAAATCCAGTCTACACCGTCACTTGCAGTAACAATACAGATCCATGTCACAGTAAAATTATGTCTACTCTACAATCCTGATTCTTCTCAGATATTCTGACCTATCCACTCCCACAGGCCGACATCTGAAGCAATATAAGATGCAAGTGGCTAGTGAATAAATAGCCTTTGTTTGAAAGGTTGGATAATATGCAGATGGGATGCAGCATTTCAATAGATGGCAGTACTAACACAGGAGGTCCTGGCCACTTGGCAGCAGAATATTTCTGCAACTGAGACAAGGTATCAGAAGTAGATCTCTAGCTGGAGAAGGGGATTTCTTCCATGCTGACAGTTGCCCAATATGACAATGCATATATGGATCTGAGCTCAGATTCAGGCCTCAGTATGAAAGTTTAAGAGTGCTTGTGATGAATGATGTATTCTTCTGTTTCCATGCTTACAGGCAAAAAACAAGAGAACCCCTATTACATAGGTATTAGCTTCATAAATCATATGCAACAGCTGCTGCTGGATTTGCAGCAGGGCAAAGGATCACTGCAAAGGCAGAGTGGGAAAGTTACAGAAAGTTGTTTTGCAAGAGCATGATTTGCTCCTGAGGCAGGAGAGGGGAGGGATCTCAGCCCTGGGGACTCAGCCAGGCTCAGAGAAGGGAAGGAGTTTGGGTTCTTTTTTTTTAAAAAAAAGTATATGCAAAAGTAGACCAAGGCTAAATCTATGTTGTCTCACAATAGCTCATGGGCAGATCAGAGCAGTATCATTGGATATTTAATATAGGAGTCACTTGTTCCCTCCCCCCAAGTGCATCACTCCCCTCCATTTAAGATGGAAATGCTGCTTCTTTTGGTTCTGAAGCTGGGGCACCATAACATAGTCAGCATGCTTCCACTTCAGGTTCTTCTTGTCACTTTAGTAATGTGCTCTTGTAAGTGATTTACCCTGGGCTCCCTCATACAGGCACAATATGAGAGCTGCCAACCCCATTTAACTGATTCTTCATGGTATCTTTGTCTTTTCTTTTGTTTGTAGGTGGAGATAGCCAAGTACTGAGACAGTCTCAAACATCTGTCACAAGAGGAGTAAGGAAAACTGCACGAATCCAGTGCCATGTTTCCACCATGAGCTTTAGCAGTGCTTATATACACTGGTATCGACAGATGCCTGAGGAGACTCCAGAGAGGATTCTCTACTTTTCATCAGAAAAACCTGTCTATGACAGAGACTCTGACAAAAAAAAGTTTGAGGCAGAGAAGGAGCTCATGGAGTCCACCTGTACTTTGACCATAAAGACAGTAAACCAGAATGATTCAGCTACATATTACTGTGCCTATTGGGATGACACTACATTAGCAAAGCATTAAGCAGGTGTGTAGAAACCTTCCCTGTAGTCTGAACTACAGCCTTTCTAGTATTTCAGACAATAGTCACCTCCCTAGGCCCGCTTCTCAGCTGTAGAAACTCTTCCTTGGTATTTCTAAAATACTTTCTTGGTATGACCAGAAAAACAACATATAACAAATTCTTTGGTATATTTTTCACAGAAAGCCGGGGGGTCCTTCTAGACTGTAATGTAAAAAGAAACCAAGGGGTTACACAGGTTTTCAGCAAGGTTTGGTACTTTTACTAGCTTGCCTAAGGGAAGAGAACCTCCAGAACTGGTATTATTTTTTCCTATATTCTTTACCCTTTCAAAGGAAGGGAGAATGAATCTAAAGTGTTGAAGCCAATGTGAAAAGCAACCAAAAATCTCCCTGGTACTTAAGAGTTCAGCTCTTCCTCATCCTCCATCTCTCCTCATCCTACCCTAAGTCTGATTTCTTTAGTGTAGTCAGTAATTTGTAACTGCCCTGTAGCTTCCCCATTATTTGCGGGCAGTTAGTAACCTAATGGCACCAGAAGCTAAGCTGCCACTTTTACAGAACACATCAATGTTTGACAAAGTAGAGAGAGGATTAAGTTTAATGACATTCTAGTTGTTGAGTTAAAACACAAAGAAATACATTATTATTCTGTAATCTGTAGAGCAAATTTATTTTGCTCAGTAGAAACCCCTTGAAAACATGGTGGAGCTCCACAACAATTACATCTCAAAACAGAAGCAGTACAGTTGTCTTCACTCAGTATTTGGGGGTGGACAAACAGGTGCACTAAGGGAAACTTGAAACTAGCCTATCCACTAATTAATATTCCACGCCAACATGTTTCAGGACACACCTCTTAATGTCCACTATATTTGCCATGTAGACATAGCAGGCATCTGCTCAGAAAATCAGAGTTCTGTTCTATAAAACCATTTCATATTTATTCCAGCCTGCAAAATCGGTTATACTTTCAGTGTAGTTGGCTAACATTGTATCGCCGGTAACCTAGTTGCGCTCCCCTCCTCACCCCCATCCCTCTATTGCTAGTCCCTCGCTCGGCACTCTGTATTTCCATATCAACTTTGTCATCTTTTTTCTGGATTCCCAATCCTAAACATTTACTAATAAAAGTCAATTTGCTTCTTGGCCTCTTGAAGGCTCAGGTCAAGTGTTACTTCTGGGGAGTTTAAATAAGCATGATCCTGACAGCCAAGCTGCTAATCAAGCCCCTGTTCCTAATAGCTAATAGCCCAAACTAAGTTGCCCAAGCAATTTGTATAGATGTTAAGATGGATAATGAATGAAGGAAGGGACAGTCCATAGAGCTGTGACAATACACTCAATGCATTCCAATTTAGCTTCTTATGTAATTTCTTTCATATCTGCCATCAAATTGTCAAGCACCAGTACATACCATGATGGAGCATAAAAGGAGAGGAATTAAGCTGGAAACCCTGAGGGAAAAAGTATGTTTTGTTTGTATTTGAAGGAAATGTTCAAAATACTTGATGTTCAACACTGAGTATTTCCCCTACCTGGGTAAGGGCTGTGCTAAACAGCACTGTTTCGTTTCAACTTCTGTTTCGACAGGAAAATGTTTCATTTCAACATTTTGTTTAGTTTCAAAGCACTGTTCCTTTGCGTTTTGTCAAAACTGTTTCACTGTTTTGATGTTTCGCCCATAGGTTATAATGGGGAATCATGAAAATGTCTATAATGTTGTCATTTCTTGCTTGATTCAAATGAAAAGAGCAGGATGGTAGCCCCTGTTGAGGCCACAAAGCCTGTCAAGTTTCAAGGAAATAGGTGCAGGGGTTTCTGGAGAAACTGCACCTCAAAGTCTTGAAAGCAAAACTCATGTCACTTGTAAGTGTGAAGGCACGGGGGGGGTGAAAACTGTAGGCATGGTAGCCCCTGCTGAGGCCACGAAGCCTGCCAAGTTTCAAGGAGATAGGTGCAGGAGTTTCTGGGAAACTGCAACTCAAGCTGTTGACAAGCAAAACTCGTGTCTCGTGTGTGTGTTCAGGTGCAGTGGGGTGAAAACAGCAGGCATGGTAGTCCCTTCTGAGGCCATGAAGCCTGCCAGATTTCAAGGAGATAGGTGCAGGGGTTTCTGGGAAACTACACCTTGAGCTGCTGAGAAGCAAAATTCATGACATGACTTTGTGTGTGTGTTAAGGTGCACCCTCACTGGCGCTGGGGCCTCTACACGACATGATAGTGTACCCCAATGAGGCTCCTCCTCCCCTACAACCTTATCCCGGTCCACCACTTTAAATGACAGCAGGTAATAACTTAGTAAACAGCACAGTAGCACCAGCAGCATCTCAGGCAGCCAAACAGTGACAGAGCCTTTCTTTCCTTTCCTGCAGAAGCTTTTTTCCCAGCAGCTGCCAGAGAACTCTCCCTGCCAGCCCCAGCCCTGGGCCTTAGATGTGCCCAGGGACCTGCCTCCTTCCGGTGAGCTGACTGGGGGGAGGTGCTAGGGATGCTGGTGTAAGGACATGGCACTGGTAGACAAGGGTTTTTGTGTCAATCTGGTATCTTTTAGTAGACCAACTGAATAATTCCAGAAATATATCTTAGCAAGCTTTCAGATTGAAAACCCTTTGTCAGGCTGAGGAAGCACCTGTAGTTGGTGTGTGTGTGTGCTGTTCCTGGATGGAAGGAAGTAAAGAAGTTAGAGGATGGCATGCAATGCAGGCAAGAAAGCCAGTCAGTGAAAATGGAAATGGAGGCATCAGGGGATGAGGGACAGGTTGGGGTCAGGGAGGGAAAGGGGGAAGCAGTACAGGTAAAAGTGAAGCGGTACCTGGGGAGTCAGATGTCCAGCAGGTTGCAGTGTGTCAGAATTCAACTGTCTGTATTGAGTCCGTGAGTTTCTGTACCTAGGAGGCTGATGAAGTGCAGTTCATAGGCTTGTCTGTGAAAAGTGGTATAAATTCAAACAAGCACTGAACCTCACTTAATCTCATCATCAGAAACCAACTGCCTACAGCCCAAAAGACACCAGATGGATCCAGACCATGCCATGACAAGACATGCAAAACCTGCCAATAATATCTCCAGTATGGAGATAACTTCACAATACAATACATATCTTCATCAGGGCACCAAGTACCCCTATGGAAATTACATAGGAGACACCAAGCAACAACTGCACACCAGAATGAGTACACACTGAAAGTCTATCAAAGACAAGAACAGAACACCACCTGTCTCCAGTCTCAGGCCTGATCCTCAAAGGGAATTTACAAGCCTCTTTTCATGTGGATTAACTGGAGAGAGTCCAGCAGAGGGAAGTGAAAATGGTTAGGAGCTGGGGCACATGAGGGTAGGCCGAGGGAACTGGGCTTATTTAGTCTGAAAAAGATAAAATGGAGGAGGGGTTTAATAACAGGCTTCAAGCACCTGAAGGGTGGTTCTAAAAAGGATGAAGCTAGACTGTTCTCAGTGGTAACAGATGACAGAATGAGGAGCAATAGTCCAAAGTTGTAGCAGTGGAAGTTTAGGTTAGATATTAAGGCAAGCTTTCTCAGTAGGAGGGTAGTAAAGCACTGGAATAGGCTAGCCAGAGAGGTTGGGGAATCTTCATCCTTAGAGATTTTTAAAACCTGGATAGACCAAGTCTTGACTGGGATGATATATTGGGGTGTGGTCCTGCTTTGGGCAGGGATTGGACTAGATGACCTCCTGAAGTCGCTTCCAACCCTCATTTTCTATGATTCATCTGGTGGCAGCCTATAAGTATATAAGGGGTGTGCATCAGGAACTGGGAGAATGCCTGCTCACCAGGGCACCCCAAGGGAAGACAAGGTCTAATGGTCACAAACTGCTGGAAGACTGTTTTAGACAGGACATAAGGAAAAACTTCTTTACTGTCCAAGTCTCTAGAGTCTGGAATAGGCTCCCCACAGAAGTGGTGCAAGCACCTACTCTGGATACTATTAAGAAATGCTTGGACGCTTATCTTGCTGGGGTTATCTGACCTCAGCTGACTTCCTGCCCTTCCTGCCCAATGATTTCACGAGGTCCCTTCCAGCCTTAATGTCTATGAAATCTATGAAAAGAAGAGATTCAAGGACACTGTGATGCGAAATATGAAGAAATGAGATATCAGCCTCAATACATGGGCACTCAAACACTGAATTGTCCCGAGTGGCATCATGATGTCTGACAAGGTTTCAACCATTTAGAGCAAACTCAACTCATTACAGAGGCAGACAGATGAGAGAGATAAAGGGGAAGAGTTTGATTCAACATCACCAGGATCTACTTCTTCCAGGATGTACTCCAGAACTACCTGCCACATTTGTAGTCAAATGTGGATCTTGGATCAACTGCCTCAGCTATCTATGGACTCACTGAGGACTTCCCTATTTATTGGAAGAATGTCATTTTTGTATTGAGGATCTGCCAACTATGATCTGATGGAGAAAAATAATGGCAGCACAAACAATTGGGCCATAGAATAATATCAACCATATAAACCAATGATATTACAATAAAGAGTCCAAAAAGTAAAGGAACACTTTCAGTGAAGAGAGGAGAGAAAGTGTTTGCACATGCAGACTCCCCTCTGGTGGCTGGCTCCAGGTTTGCACATCTTTATAAATCTTATCACCCAAGTAAGGTCTTCATAAGGTCTCAGCAGCTCTAGGGTGGAAGATTATTGAGTTTTCACCTGGGAAATGTTCCATCTGTTCACATCAAAAAAGTCTTGAAAATCAGCTGGTCATTTGTCCTGTGGAGCTTTTACACACCAAATAAAATCTGAACACAGCTCATCTTCTCTTCTGTAGTAGAAAGTATCTTTTGGAGTGGGTTGCTTCTCATGAGAAGGCAGCAAAGTTTTAATATTAAAAGTACACACAATTATAAATCAGTTTTACAAAACATGTTTGTATCTTGACCCTTTCAGTTAGCTTCAATAAAACACAGTGAAAATATCCAGTGTTTCAGACTATAGTTAGCACTTAGCCCAGGTCTTTTTTTTTTCAGACTAAGCAGCAGTAACAGTGCACTGCCTTGATATATCCTCTCAGCAGCCACTGCAACTTCATTGGATGTTACCTAAGTGACTCACTTCCTCTCCACAGCTCTACATTTCTGTCCATTTGAGACCATCCCTTACGTTTCATTGATGGAAGCTAACAAGCAGGAAGAATGTCCCTGCTGAAGGCTTTTACTCTGGTTCTGGCATGTTCCTGTAAGCCATTTGCTCACCCTGTTTTCCACGCGCAGATGCAGCAAATGGAGAAATTCTGTGTTCATTCTGATTCCTATTTTTTTATTCTGCTTCCTCTACAGATGGCTCCATTGAAGTCCTAAAACAAACTCAGCTCTCCATCAGTCGGGCAGAAAGTAGAACTGCACGAATTGAATGCCATGTGGCTGTATCTGATTTTGGCACAGCTTATCTACACTGGTATCGACAGAGACCTGGTGCAGCTCCAGAGCGGATTCTGTACTTTTCTTCGCAGGTCCATGTTGACCGTGAGTCTGATAAGGGAAAGGTCAATGTACAAAAGAACCTCAACAAGTCCATCTGTATCCTGACAATAAACAGAATAAGCTCCAGTGACATCGCTACCTATTATTGTGCTACTTGGACAGGCACAGCATCAGAAAACCATTAACAGTCTGTAAGAAAAGCTCACTCTGCATTCTGAACCAGATCAAATGTGTGGAAGACACCTCCCCAGTTCTGCCCCTCGGTCTGGGACTACCTGCAGAAACTCACTGTTGGCTTCTACAAGAGATAACAAAGGAAAGTGCTGATGTCAAGTATATTGTGCAGACAATTGCTAAAACCAGCTGCACAGGTAGTCAGATGAAGAACAGTAAAATATGAAATCCATTGCCTGTAAATAGCTTGGTCCTTTCTTCTAACACATAGGTGACAAACACCCGCTGTACACTGATCCCTCCTCCTGCAAATCCCTTCTTATGAACCATATCTGCTGCAATTCCTACAAAAAATCTGCCTGCAAGTGATGGTATGTAACGCAGGCCACAGGAGCAAAGTGTTATTTTTTAATATAAGTGACCAAATGCTCTGCTGATATAAATAGGTTAACCTCCAGCAAATGAATGGAGCTGTCCAAGTAGACACCAACAGGGAATTTGGCTGTACATACAATATACATGATTCTGTGCTTTTGTCTCCTCAACACTTTGAATATTGCTTCAAATTTAAAACTAAAGCACTTTGGGACAGCTGCTGCCTGTTTCCTTGTTTGTCAACAAGCACAACAGGGTACAATCCTGTCTGAAAGGGTGCAGTAAACCTTTAACCAAAGACATACCTGGAAATCATATATCAAGACCATTCCCTCATTTAGCCAATGTCATAGTAAAATAGACTGGTTTCAGAAAGGCACAGAATATGCCTTCTGCCACTTGGACATAGTACTCACCCAAAGCACCTTTCAGCAGTGAGCAATAATTCCGCCATAGCTTAAAAGAGGCATCATCAGGAGGTAAAACCTCATTGGATGTGGCTGAAATGAGATATTTCCTCTCTCTAAATGCAAACATTTCACCTTCCCAGAGCAGCACTCCTATTCTGCTGAGATAGCAGTCCTGGCAAAATATTCAAGAATGTTTCTGCTCCAGGTTCTTATTTTAGCTTTATTTTGGCCTTGTAAGTTTTTGTTTCATCTTCTTCTACCCATATGCATATTATGGAGCAACACATAGATGAGCTATAAACTCCAGCTGATGTTGTATAATTCATTATTTCCTCCTCTTTTTCTTCTCCTAGATGGGCATGCACAGTTGCTTCTCCAACAAATCCAGACATCTGTTACCAAAGAACAATATAAAATAGCACGTATGGACTGTAAAATTTCTGGCCTGAAAAACTTCAAGAGTGCTGTTATACATTGGTATCGACAAATATCCGGTAGAGCTCCAGAACGGATTCTGTTCATCTCAGAATCAGAACCCAGCATTGATCAGCCCTCTGATAAGAACAAGTTTCACTGTGAAAAGGATCCTGACAAGCAAATCTCTACCCTAACTGCAAATTATGTGACCCATAATGACACAGCTACCTACTACTGTGCTGTCTGGGATCACACAGCATTAGCAAACAATAGAGAGTTTGTACAAATACTCATTCTGAAAACAGCCACAGCCATTTCGACACAAGGAATCAGACATATCCTTCAACTTCTTTGTCAGCTTCAGGCAGAACTAGATACGCAACCAACTGGACATCAGCCACAACTTCATATATTTGGTACTCAGAATTATATTAGAAGAGATACTTATGTGCAAAATTTGCAGATATAAAGGCATGTGCTCAATTATGACATACAGATACTTTCACTGTCCCTGATATATACAATTCCTCCCACTGGTAAGAAGCCCAGGTAATTGTTACAAGTGTGGTATCTCTAATGAAATGTGCCACAAGTGAGGATGCTACATCAGTAAATGGCCTTTTCTCCTGCTGTCAGTACTGAACCAACAACCTGGTTTAAAGTTAAGAGCTGTTATAATGTTACAGTGCTGTCTTTTATCCAAGACATCAATTCAACCTTCACATAAATTGTCAATAAAAACATGTTGCCACTCTTCCCAGGAATAGGGGCACTAGTTCAAAAACCTGGACAGAGTCCAGTTGAGAGAGTGGGTTCTGCTACTTACTTCTTTTGCTTTTTGAGTTTGTCAGTGAATTCTCCATCTCCTGTCACTGTTTGAAATTCTAAAGATAGCTCTTCAGAGTACTACAGTCTCTCTAAAAAAGGTCCCATAGCTGGATATTCAGGTCTATGGAGCAGGTGTGGGAGAGAGTATGGTGAGGTGCAATCAAAAGATTTGAGAAGCACTGGTAACTAGTACAGAGCAATCTGGACCACCTGGTACACTAACCACGAGCAAATGTAAAGCTTTGCAAAGAATGCAGGGTACACATATAAGATGGAGATTCTAGCTCAGGCAAAAATTACCCTTAAAGGATTGGCAAGTCATAGTGGATGAACAGGTGCACAGTTGAACATGAGCTCTCGCTTAAACACTGTAGCCAAAAGAGCTAATATAAACCTTAGACATATAAACAAAGGAATCTAGAGCAGGTGGGAGGAGATATCCCATGTGTCTGGATTGACTCCTTGGTGAGTGCTTAAGAAGGTTGATAAGCTGGAGAGAGTTCAGAGAAGTGCTACATGAGAGACTGAAGATTGGAAAACGTGTTAGACTGAAACACTCTGGGAGCTCAGGAAGTAACGGATGATTCCTTGCCAGTCTAGAGGATCAGTCAAATGAAACAAAGCTTTGAGGACAAAGCCTTATATTGAACAGAAAAACGCATAACAAGTTCCAATGCCAGGAAGGTGAAGTTATGACAACTTCAAGCCTCTACTACCTTAAAATAATTTCACTGCGAAAATAATTAATGATCTGAACAACTTGCTCTGAGCTCTCCATCGCTGGCCATTTTGAAATCAAGATTGGGTGATTTTTCCTTAGGTATATGTAAGATGAGAGCAAGGCTATATCTACATTTCCTCACAATAAATCATGGGTAAACTGGAGAGTAACCATTGGTTGTTTAATCTGAGTCACTTACTTCCTCTCCAAGTGCACCACTCCCTCAATTTTAGATCAAGATGCCTCTTCCTATGGTTTTCAGAAGCAAGGGTACTGTAACATAGTGAACATGTTTCTGCTTCAGGTTCTTCTTGTTGCTTTTATTTTCTCTTGTAAGTTTGTGCTTCTCCACTGGATCCTGTGAGCAGGATAAAACATATTTTGAGATCCTTCAACTTTATTCAGTTGAATAATATGAATTCATGGTATCTTTCTCTCTTATTCTGTTTGTAGGTGGAGATGCCCAAGTGCTGAAACAATCTCAGTCCTCCATAGTGAGAGAAGTACATAAAACAGCACGAATTGAATGCCATGTTTCTGGCATAAGCTTTAGCAATGCTTATATACACTGGTATCGGCAGAAGCCTAGGGAAGCACCAGAGCGGATTCTCTACGTATCATCAGGAACACCAAGCTTTGACAAAGAGTCTGATAAAGGAAAGTTTGAGGCAAAAAAGAACATCAATGACAACACCTGCACGCTGACACTAAATCGAATAAGAACAGAGGATGCAGCTACATATTATTGTGCCTACTGGCATGGCACATTGTTAGCAAAGCACTGAGCAGCTGCACAGAAACCTTCTAAAATGTATTTTAAACTGCAGCCTATCAAACAGTTAACACCACACTCCCTAACTCTGCCCCTCAGCCTGCAACCAGGGGCAGAAACTCCTTCCTGATTTGTTCAACCAGACATGAAAAACCAGCAAACAGCTATTGGCTTGGCAGATACTTGCCACATAGTCAGTGGAATCCCACATAGCTATACTATAAAAGGAGACCATCAGTTAAATATGACAACACATTTTAAGGGAAAAAGCGTTTAGTTATTCTCTGTGAGGGACTGAGGTTAGCTATGGGCAGACCCTGGAGAAGAACCCTGAAGAGCTGACACTAGCTGACAGTAGCAGATGCCAGGAATTTGCTTATAAATTAATTATACAACACAAATCCATCTGTGAGTCCCTTTTCAAGCTGGGATAAAACTTGCTGTAAATATCCAACTTTAAATATGTTTTTGATACATATGATCACCTTCATCAGACCAAGCTGAACTCAGTGCCTCTATCCAACTGCACGTCTCAAACTCTCCTGTTTTGGAGGCCGAGAAGTGTAATAGGCAAACTGAGTTATGCTAAAGATCTTAGCCAGAGTCTAGGCTTTCCTGGAACTAAGCAATAAAATTTGACATAGTGCCTGAAAAGGCAGTGGGAAAAGTGAGTGCTGTGATTGGTATGGTGGTGTCAGAAGTGGTGAATGGGGAAGACTGAATGAATCTTCAGCATTATCTATAGCAGAAAGCTGGTAACTCAGGTCCTCAAAGCTGCACTCAGCAAGGAACAAAGGCCTCTGGGAGTACAGTCCCCTCTCTGCAAGGCAGAAGTGTAACCAGCTCAGAGACACAGTTAACCATGGATGCATTACAAGCCCTTCATGCCTTTCATTGTCAGGCAATATAGCTGAGAACTGGAGAAAATGTAGACAAAGGTCTGAGTTGTATTTAGCTGCTATAGGAGCAGAAGAGAAAACTGATGACGTTAAATCATCCATTTTCCTGCATGTGGTAGGGAAAGAAGTGCTTGAGGTGTATAGCAACTTTCCATTTGCTCCAGGCCAAAACATGAGGTTAAATGAGATATTGAATGAATTTGAAGACTATTGTGTGCCAAAACGCAATGAGACCTTTGAGAGAGAATTTTTTTATGTGCATGCAAAAACCAGGTGAAAGCATAGAGCATTATATCACAGAATTAAAAAGGCTCAGCAAGACCTGTGTTTTTGGGGACGTAACGGATTCTCTGATCAGGGATAGAATAATTTATGGCATTACAGACAATGGATTAAGAGAGAAGCTGCTATGGGAAGGAGACCTATACCTAGAAAAAACTATACAGATTTGTAGAGCAACTGAAACTGTGAAGGCTCAGGCCAAAGAGCTGAATGCAGCTGAGGGCATTGTCTATGCAATACATAGTAAAGACAGACAGAAAAGGCCACATCAAATGGAGGTTGCCCCAGCTACCACAACTACTACTAAGGGGCAGATGGAGTACAGGCAAGCATGCAGCTGGTGTGGAATGCAGCATGGCTCCAAATGACATGCTGCATTAGGAAAGCTCTATTTTAATTGTGGTAAAAATAATCATTTTGTCAAATGTTGCAAAGTGCAAGCCCATAAGGTCCAGGTGCATACAGCTGAAGATACTCCAGAGGGAGGGTATTATATAGATACAGTAGAATCAAGCGGAGCTACTGAGAAGGACTGGATCCTGCCACTGGAAGTTCATGGGATAATGATTCCATTCAAACTGGATACAGGGGCTCAGGTGAACATTTTACCAGAGCAAGATTATAAAAAGCTGAAAAGTAAACCAAAACTGAGGCCTACAAAAGTAACCATGAGTGCTTATTCAGGAGCAAAGATACCGGTCAAGGGAAAGTGCCTTGCCTGCATCAGACATAAAAACATGATGTACAATCTTGCATTCATTGTAGTATCTAAGGAGGTGGCACCTATTTTGGGCCTAGCAGCTTGTGAAAAGCTCAATTTGGTTAAATGGGTATTTGCATTAAAACACTCTGGCTCAGGTTATGAGGACCTTATTTTGGAGTATCAAGATTTGTTTTAAGGCCTTGGTTGCTTACCAAGGGAACATACAATTCAGATAAATAAACAGGTCCCCCCAGTTATACACCCATGCAGAAAGGTGCCTTTTGCCCTCTGTGATAAACTAAAGGCAGAGCTAAAAAGGATGGAGGAAGTCCAGGTAATACAGAAACTTGAGGAGCCAACAGAGTGAGTGAAGAGCTGGTAACCTCTCCTTTGTAGGTTATGGATTGTTTGGTGTGGTGATGGTTTTGTCTTGCATTGTTGTTGTGGTGGAATTTTTGTTGTTATATTGTGATGGTTATTTTTATTTTTTTTAAAGGGAAGATGTAGTGATAAGTGTTAGATTTTGGAGACAGTCCCTTACAACGGAATGTCTTATCAGGTGAGGAATTTGAACATGATCCCTGGGGGAGCAAGAAGAAGTCAAGATGGAGGCAGCTACATGATCTATGCTGGAGGAACCCTGTGCTGTGCTATCGTTAAAGGGCTGTTCTCTTCCTCATTCATACTTGTTATTCACTGCAGGACCTAAATCATTACACCAGGTACAACAGTTTCCCTAAAAGGAAATGAAGCCCTGTTCCCCTGAGCACTGCCAGGAGTGACCAGGAATAACGGTCACAAACTGGCAGAGGGTAGATTCAGGCTAGGTATCAGGAGGCACTACTTCACTGTCAGGGCGGCTAGGATCTGGAACCAATTTCCAAGAGAAGTGGTGCTGGCTCCTACCCTGGGGGTCTTTAAGAGGAGGCTTGATGTACACCTTGCTGGGGTCGTTTGACCCCAGTACTCTTTCCTGCCATGGCAGGGGGTCGGACTCTATGATCTGCTCAGGTCCCTTCCGACCCTAGAAACTATGAAACTATGAATCCAAAAACTGAGTAGGATTGGAGTACCTTATCTAAAAAGGTGAGGTATGGAACTTGAGGACTGAACAATTTGGGATGAGAAAGTTACAAAAGTAATGAACAAACAAAGAAAATGGGTGTGTTTATGTTGTATCTCCAGGGAGGCAGGGGCAACCATGGACTTTTTGCTCGAATAGCTGGAAAGCCAGAAACGAATATCTTACACATTCAGTGGAGGACCTGAGGCCAGTACCACTGAAGGTTGCTGTTGTAATATCTAAAAGATCCACTTACCAGGTCATATTATGGGGAAGAAACCTGTAATAGAGTTTAGGGGTCACCTGATACCAAATCAGACGAGGGGCTGTGTCAAACCTTGGGGGTTTCTGGCAAAACGAATCCTGTTGGTAACAAGAGCTGAGGCTCTGGCTTTGGTTTGTTCATGTTACTGGCTTTCCATTGTGTTAGGTTTCAAATAGAAAATGGTTGTGGGATACAGGGGATTTGTAGATGAATTCTGCCCCAGGGGTTGAGATAAATTGTTACAGATTCTCAGCTTGAGATTCCTTCTACACTGCCAATTGCTTAGCTTGACAGTATTTTTGGGCATCTGAGCCCAGTTTCAGCCACCAGAAAGAAAGCTTAAGAGCGGTCATGATGAAAACAAATTCTCCTCATTTCCTTATACCTACCAGCAAAGCCAAGAGAAACCCTACTAGATGTGTATTACTTTGAATGTTACCCATGTAGCAGGCACCTGTACAAGTTTCACTGCACTTTTTTTCCCCCTGGGCTAAGTGATTGTGGCTGCAATTGTGGGAGGACACAGATTTTGTTTACGAATATTTTTCCAAATCTATATAACACTATTTAAAATGCTTCTAATTTATACTTTTTCTCAGTTCTCTTGCCAGATTGGACTTCAGAGCACCCACAGATCTTGACTTCTTGCCACCTCATTATAAACAGTATTATTCTATGAGAAATGTAGCCCCACATGCCTACAATGAGAACTGCTATTAAATGATGCTTAAATGAGTCACTTCCTGAAACAACTACATCACTCTCTCTCCATCTGAGGTTCTAGTTCACATTCCTTTTGCTCCATTCAACCCAACAGCTCATAATGTTACTGCCACAGGTTCTTTTAGTGACTTCACTTTGGTCTTGTAAGTAATTTGTCCTTTCTGTCCTTTTCAGCATGTGATCATTACTGAGCAAAAAGATTTGTTTCCCAGTCATGCCATTTCATTTTTATGTTGTCATTCTCCTCTCTGTTTTCCAGATGCACATGGAGAAATAACTATCACCCAAACTCCGGAGTTCTCCATCAAAAGGGAAAATGCTACTGTACGTATGTATTGCGTTCTCCAGGGCATCTCTGAAAATATTGCCAGTGCCATCATTCACTTGTATCATCAAAGCCCTGGTGAAGCTCCAAAGAGAGTTCTGTTCTTCACATCAGGAAAATCCACTTTTGATGACAACTCTCAGGCAAAGAATTTTCAAGTTACAATAGATCCTCAAAAATCCCGCTATACTTTCTATGTAAATAGTATAAAGAAAATGGATGCCGGTGTCTACTACTGTGCTTACTGGAACATCCACAGTGTTAGAAAACCATGAATAACCTGTACAAAAACTCACTCCTCATTTTCAACCATATTGTTATAACCATATGAAACCACAGTCACTTCTCTAACTCCTAATTTCAGCTGTGAAACTGCTAAATACCTTCCTGCAACCTGAGAAGTAGGGCAATAACACAATTGCTGTTTTGATGAGCATGTTGCTAGAAAAAGAACAGTTGCCAGTTCAAATGGAACAGTTCTGTGGGATAGACAAGTACCTTAAACAACTGATTGTCAGAGGAATAAATATATATTCAGGTTAGAATAATTGACAACAGAAATAGCTGAGAGTATTTTAAGTTATTCATAGGAGACCCTAATAGGAACAGTAAGAGGAGGCACATATTTGACCTACTGATTCAAAGTGTACATATGACAAGCTGGATCATAATTTGTTAAGCCTTATGCCCACCTATTGCAAAATATTTAACACTAGGGCTAGGAACAGACATTCAAAAAGCTGGAGCCTGAATTGAATCAATCTTTGCAGGTTAGTTTAACCTGCCTAGGTTGAATCAATTTGCAAATGTACAGGCATTCCCTCTGGACTGAGGAAATGCAGGCACATGCCTGCAGTTGCTCAGGCCAGCAGCTGGGGGACACTAGAGCGCACCCTTGGCTGCAGGGAAGCAGTGCTAGGAGTGAGTGTAGCCAGCCCAGGCAATAGCCTGGAGTAAAC